GCTAGCCTTATGGGTTTTCCTTGTAAGCTACTGACTTCTTTTGTCTTGCTGCTTTTAATTTTTTTATCACTATATTTTGTTAAGTTTAATTATAATATGTCTTAATGTAAGTCTGCTTTTGTTGATTCTGGTGGGGGTTCTGTGTGCCTCCTGGATCTAGATATCTGTTTCCTTCTCCAGATTAGGGAAAGTTTTCAGTTATTATTTCTTCAAATGAATTTTCTGCCTCTTTTCTCTCTCTTCTTCTGGGACTCCTATAATATGAATATTATTACATTTGATGGAGTCACTGATTTCCTTAAGTCTTTCTTGTTTTGCATAATTCTTTTTCCTGTCTTTTGTTTAGTTTGGTTACTTTCCATTACTATTTCTTTTAGGTTACTTGTTCTTTCCTCTACTCCTTCCATTCTGCTGTTCATTTAATCAAGACTGCTTGTCATTTTGTTTAATGTGCCCCTATCTCTGCTCTGTTATTCCTTATTTCTGTGTTCAGTGTCTCACTCATGTCTTCCACTCTTTTCTCAAGTCTGGTGACTATTTTTATGATCATTGCTTTAAATTCTCTGTCAGGCATGTTACTTATATCTGTCTCAATTAGCTCTCTGGCTGTAGCCTTGTCCTGTTCTTTCTTTTGGTATAAATTTTCCTGTCTCCTCATTTTGTCTTCCTCTCTGTTTCTGTTTCCATGTGTTAAGAAAGTCAACTGTATCTTCTGATCTTGAAAGTAGTGATACTATGAAGAAGCAGTCCTGGAGTGCCCTGCAGTACAGTGTCTCCTGTTCACCAGAATCTAACAATTCAGGAGATTATCCTATATGTGTTGTTTATGCCTTACTGTTGTGTCTGAGTCACTTTTCCTTTCAGTGCTGTAATCTTCACTGACTATCCGCCTATTTTGGGCTATGCTTGCTCTCTGTGATGTTAGCAGGACCCAGGCAGTCCAGCTTTAAGGGGGCATGTCTGCCAGGGAAATTGGGAGTGAGGTGCAATGTTAGGAAAATTTGCACAGGCCACTAGTCTTATGCCAGATCCCCGAAAGCACTGCGGGGACTGGGATTTGTGTGTAAGGACAGCTGGGTGAGCAAGGCTGGGCATGGTGCCCAAGGATGGCTGGGTGTGGCTGGGCCCAGTGTGACTGGATGGCTGGGGCCTGGGGCTGAGCAGGGTGTGGTGGCTTGGCCAAGTGGGGTGACTGCTGTGTACCTGGTGGCTTTGCATGATGTGGGACCACAGCTGGGGCCACATGAATGGGCACAGTGCACAAAGGTGGCTGGTTGGGCAAGGTGTGCAATGGTAGCTGGAGGCAAATGGTTGCATGTGGTGCAGTAGATGTGCATGTTCTGCTGTGGCAGCTGTGCACCTGATGGCTCCTTGGGGCATATGCATAGCTTTGACAAAATTCGCCCTGAGGCCAGGGCCAAGCCTAGCAGGTTTGGAGTGGGCTAGTCCTTAGGAGAACTCATGGGCATAGCTCACTGGAAGAGGGTTAGGTAGCAAGTGTCTGTGAATTCCTTCCTCTTGCAGGTGGCTCTGTGCTTATGCTGTGGGGCTAGGGAGGAAATGGTGTCTTTCAGCTCCCTCATTTTCAGAGAATTCACCCAAGACACTATGAAATCAGTATGAATAGATCTACCTCCTGTTTTCCCCCAGAGTTGTGTTAACTGTCATTTTTATGTTTCTTCTCTGTGGGCTGCTGTCTCTTTAAGGGCAGTGGCCCAGCTATCACTCGCCTTCCTTGGGTGGCCAGTGCTGAAGCAGCAGACTTTTAAACCTCCAGGCTTCAAGTACCATTAGTTTTATAAACTCACAGAATTCAGCCCCTCTTTTTTATTAAGATTGTATTTTATTTTTTAAAGATTTTATTTGTTATTTATTTATTCATTTATTTATTTATTTATTTGAAAGAGTGAGTGAACGGGGGACGGGCAGGGGGAGAGGGAGAGAGAGAATCTTAAGCAGGATCTGCACTGAGTGTACAACCCATCTCAGGGATAAATCTCACAACTCTGAGATCATGACCTGAGCTGAAATCAAGAGGTAGATTATTAACTGACTGAGCCACACTGGTGCCTCAAGCTTTTATTTTTTAAGTCATCTTTACACCCGACATGGGGCTCAAATTTACAACCCAGAAGTCAAGAGTCATGTGTTCTACTGATTGAGCCAGGCAGGTGCCCCATCAGCCCCTCTGGTTTTTAAAGCCAAACATTATGGGAATTAGTCATCCCTCTGGTGTGAGGGCCTGTTTCTCTGCCCTTTCTACATGCTCAGCTCTCTCCCTCCTGCAAGCAGCCTACTTATGCCTTTGTGACTTTCCTGACCTTTCAGATGCAGCTTCTTCTCTATATTCAGTTGTGGAGTTTGTTCTTACAGTCTTCCCATCACTCCACATTTTGTTGAATTGGATGTGGACCATATTTAGTTGACATTATGGGACAGGGTGAGCTCACGGTCCTTCTACTCTGCTATCTTTCCAAACTCAGAATTTCATTATTTTAAAGGTTGAATAAATTCTATCATTTTTATATACCACATTTTTTTTTTATTGATTTATCCATCAATGGACATTTAGGTTGTTTCTACCTTTTGGCTCTTGTGAATAATGCTGCTATGAACAGCATTTGGTGTACAAACATCTTTTCAAGTCCCTGCCTTTTAATTCTTTGGGTATATACCTAAACATGGATTTGCTGGATCATATTCTAATTCTATGTTTTGTTTTGTTTTTTTGAGAAATGGCCGTTCTGTTTTTCACAGTGGTTGCACCATTTTATATTCCCACTAGTAATTCACAAGGGTTACAATTTGTCTAATTCTTTACTAACACTCACTTTCTGTTTTGTTTTGTTTTTGTTTGGATCACTTCATACCATCCTAATAGGTATGAAGTGATATTTTATTGTGTTTTTAACTTTCATTTTTTGAATAACTAGTGATGTAGAACATTTTTCACAAGCTTATTGGCTATCCCTATATCTTCTTTGGAGAAATGTCTATTTATGTCTTCTGCCCATTTGTAATTTGGTATTGGCTTTTGTTATCATTGAGTTTAAGGAATCCTATATATACTTTGGATACCAATCCCTTACCAGATCATGATTTGTTAATATTTTCTCCCATTCTGTGGATTGCCTTTTCAGTCTCTTGATAGTGTTCTTTGACTCACAAAAGTCCTTTTAATTTTTATGAAGTCCAATGTATCTGTTTTCTCTTTTGTTCCCTGTCATTTGGATATCATATCCAAAAAATCATTTCCAAATTAATGTTATGAAGTTTTTCCCTATGTCGTCTAAAAGTTTTATCATTTAGCTCTTTAGGTCTTGAATCCTTTTGAGTTAATTTTTTATATGGTATAAGATAAGGATCTAATTTCATTCTTTTTCATGTGTATATCCAATTTTCCAGGATCATTTGTTGAAAACATTGTCCTTTGCCACTGAATGGTCTCGGCAGCAAAATCATTTTACCATATATGCAAGGACTTATTTCTTGGCTGTCTACTATATTTGACCATATATGCAAGGATTTATTTCTTGGCTGTCTAATACATGCCATTCATCAATATTTCTGAATTTATGCCAACACCACACTGTTTTCATTGATGTAGCTTTGTAGAAAGTTATGATATCAAGAAGTGTGATTTCTCCCACTTTGTTCTTTTTTAAGGCTGTTTTGGCTATTTCAAGTCCCTTGAATTCCATTTTATGATGGGTTTTCTATTTCTGAAAAAGAGTCTTTGGAATTTTGACAGAGACTGCATTGAATTTGTAGATTGCTTTGGATAGTATTAGCATCTTAACAATATTATGTCATTCAGTCAATGAACACAGGGTATCTTTCTATATATTTACACCTTCTTTATTTTTTTTTCAGCATTCCTTTATAGTTTTCAGTGTACACATTACTTACCTGCTTGGTTAAGTTTAGTTGGTTAATAATGGTTTATACTGTTATAAATTGAATTGTTTCTCAATTTTTTCATAATGTTTATTGCTAGTGTAAAGAAATGAGTTTGATTTTTTTGTATATTAATATTTTATCCTGCAACTTTACTGAATTTACCAATTTGTTCTGAAAAGCTTTTTGTGTATGGAGTCTTTAAGGTTTTCTATATATGATTATGTCATCTGCAAACAGAGATAATTTTACTTCTTTCTCTATGATTTGTATGGCTCTTATTTATTTTTATCACCTAATTTCTTTGGCTAAAATTTCCAATATTATGTTGAAAAGAGGAGACAAATGCAGGCTGGCATATGCAACATGATTTATTGGGTGTATGTTAATTTTCAAGAAATAATTGCAAAAAGCTAATTTTTATTCTTATTATCTTCATATTTTCAATGTATTACTTGTAACTTATGCTCCTTTTAAAAATAAAACAAAAGAATGTAAGCCAGGAGGCCAGTTAACAAAATATAAAAAGGTAAATGGGGCAAAAGTTACATGTCCAGATGACTGATTACCACTGAATTACCCATTTTGACATAACAAGGGTTTTACAATGGATACAAATTAAGTTAAAATATTTCTCTTGATAAATTATTCTTACCAATATTATAACAAAGGTTCATGATAATTTATAATCCAAAATACTAACTTATATTTGAAACCCAAATAAAATTAATGAATTATTTCCAATTTTTGAGGGGACAAATCATTAATATTAATCTAATCAATTATTTATAACAGAACATCATAATATAGAAAATTTCCCTGATTGAGATTTTCAATTCAATTCCAAATTCTAGGTATCAAAACCCAAATTACATCACATTATTACAAAAACTATTTCAAGACAAACACACTCAGTTATTTTTCTTTAATTGATTATTATTTAGATTTTGTATTGGAATGCTAGAATCTTTGTACCAGAATCATAGTAATATGGAATAAAATGTCTCAACTTAAGCATCTCTTATGTGTATATAACAAATAATTCTTTTCTCATATTACATCAAATGTGTGAGTGATTATGAAATATCTTTGTTTTATTTTAGTATTGTATAAATAAAACCTGCAAAGAAGTTCATTTGGTGGGAAAAAAATGTAATGCTGCTAAAAAATGCAGAGGAAATGGGGTAAGTAACTTTTCTTTCTGTAGTTCTAAATTAAATGTTATTTTTGTGGGTAATTCAAAGTAAAAGTTTATCTTGCTTGGGAGAATTGAGAGTCTAGTTACTTTTAAACTGAACTTGCCTAGGAATAGCTAATCAATATAAAGAAAATCAGTAGGGTGATGAATATCTACCATTTGCATCAACATGGGTGGAACTGGAGGGCATTATGCTAAGTGAAATAAATCAGGCAGAGAAACATAAGTATCATATGGTTTCACTCATATGTGGAACATAAGGAATAGAGCAGAGGACCATATGGGAAAGGAGGGAAGACTGAATGGGAAGAAATCAGAGAGGGAGACAAACCATGAGAGACTCTGGACTCTGGGAAACGAACTGAAGTTTGCAGAACCGAGGGGGGTGGGAGATTGGGGTAATCGGGTGATGGGTATTAAGAAGGGCACATGTTGTGATGAGCACTGGATGATATATGCAACTAATGAATTTTTGAACACTACATCAAAAACTAATGATGTTGGCTAATTGAAAAATAAATAAATAAATAAATAAATAAATAAATAAATAACAAACCTCAGTGGGGCTAATTCAAAAACTGTTAAACAAATTGTACTACATGTGTTGAATTTATTGTGAACATCCACAACTTATGAATTAATAACATGTTTAAATAAAAACCATTTATGCCAATAAATATGTTTTACTTGTAATTGTGAACATATTTTGTACTCCCTCATTTTCTTAATAATTAAAATTTATGGCTATATAATATTTTATAGAGAATATACCTAAAAAACCTATTGACATGTTAGCGAATTTTCTGATTGTTCCTATGAAGAGGTTCCTAATAAGAAATATATCCTTATGCAAAAACTTTTTATTTCTTCCCAACTGCTTATCTATCTTAATCTGCTAACACAAATTTGCTGTTACTTTTATATTTAATTTTTACATCTTAAAACTTATAGTGTTGGTCCTTTCAAAATTATTTTTCCTAAAAGAAAATCAGTGTAAGATGCAGTCAACACTATAAGAATTATTCCAGATTTACCATATTTATCAGTATTCAATTTTATAATTTTTAAATTGGTTGGATTTAGAATATATAAAATGCCTCTTGCATTGTCTTTAATTTTCTAGAGGCTGTTAACAAAGAAGATAACTACATTTTCATGTTTTGTTTTTTACTTTCTATAGTTACAATTATTGGCCTGATCTTTTGCTTTCCTTTAATTATCTGTTTTAGGTCTTCAGTCCAAATGATTTTTATTAAATCTCAAAATTATAGATTATAAATTTGTTTTCTTCACCTACTACCATTTAGATTCCATTTTTATTTTACTTAGGTTTTTGGATTTTTAAATAAAATTTTTCACTATGAAATATGACATACATAAAATAAGTAAATAAGATTAAACTGCATTTATTTTATGATTTTCTGTATGCTTATTAATTTCAAAATTAAAATGAAAATGTCAAGTAAAATCTAACTGAATCTAGGAGAAACTCTGTTTACTTTCCAATGACATCTCAACAGACAACTCTATTATTTACAGTTGATAAAGTTGACTTATAACTCTATAATTTGCAATTTTAGTTAAATTTTATGAGCATGTAGTTGTTTAAGAAATCTTATTATGAAGTATTGGCAGTCATTGTAGTGTGGTTCTTTTTTCATTTCTGATACACTTTTTTTATTAACAAGACTTTTTTTTAGAGCAGTTTTAGGTTCACAGAAAACTTGAGGAAAAAAATACAGAATGTTCTCATATATCTCTTTCCCTGACACATGCATACCCTCCCTCAATATCAACATCCTGCATCAAAGGTGTACACTTGTTACAACTGATGAACATACATTGACATATCATAAGCACCACAACTATTGATAATTTACATTAGGGTTCATTCTTTGTGTTGTACTTTTATGGTTTTGGATGAATGTAAATTATATCCATTATTATAATACCATAAGAGAAGTTCACTGGCCTAAAAATCCTTTGTGCTTCCCCTCTTTAAGTCTCCCCTCAACCTACAACAACCAGTTATGTTTTTAACTGTCTTCATAGTTGTGCTTTTTCCAGAATGTTATATAGTTGGGATCATACAGTATACAGCCTTTTCAGAGTGGCTTCTTTCACTTAGTAACATACAGATTCCTTCATGTCTGCTGTTTGGATTTACCACAGTTGATTTATTTATTCACCACTGAAAGACATACTGGTTGCTTCCAAGTTTTTACAGTTATGAATATAACTACTTAAATATCCATGTGCAGATTTTTGTAAAAAGATAAATTTCCAACTCTTTAGGGTATATACTCTTCTTTAAATTAGACTCCCTAGCAATTTATCATTTTATTAATGATCTAAATATATCAAGAAGTTAAGAAAAAAGCAACAGATTATATTGAAAATTTTAGTTATTGATGGACTGCAAGTGGTGGGCATTCCTGAATCTGGTCCCCATTGTTAAAGACAAAGGTTTCAATATTCAATTCCATGTTTTTCTTTCATGCAACATGCTTTTGATGTTATATATAAAAAGCTATCTCCAAACCCAAGGTCACCAAGATTTTCTCCAGTGTTATCTTCTACAAGTTTTATAGTTTTGTATTACATTTAGGTCTATGATCCATTGAGCTAATTTTTATGAAAAGCATAAGCCTAATTTTTTGCATGTAAATTTCCATCACCATTTTTTAAAGAATGATCCTTTCTCCATTGAACTCTCTGCCTTTGCTCCATTATCAAAGACGAGTTGACTATATTTATGTGGATTTAATTCTGATTTCTCTATTTCATTACGTCAATCTGTTTATCTATTCCTTTGCCAATACTCCATTGTTTTGATTATTTTAGCTTTAAAATAAGTATACACATCGGGTAGTCAAAGTGATCCTTCTTTGTTCTTCAGTATTATGTTGGCTATTCTGTGTCTTTTGCCTTTCCATGTAAACATAAGTTGGCCAAATCAGATCGTCAGTATCCACAAAATAAGCAAATGGAATTTTGATTGGGATTGTATTGAATGTATAGATCAAGTGGGGAATAACTAACATTTTGAAAATATTGAATCCTCATATTCATGTACATGGAATATCTTTCCATTTATATAGATCTTTGAGTTTGTTACATTAGACTTTGCAGTTCTCCTAATACAGGTCTTATAAATTTATAACCAATTATTTTTTTGGTGTTAATGTAAATGGTATTGTTTTTAATTTCAAATTCCAGTTGTCTATTGTTATATGTAAGTAAGTAATTTACTTTTATATATTAACCTTTCATTATGCTGCCTTACATAATCACTTATTGGTTCTTATAGCTCTTTTATTGATACTTTGGGATTATTTACACAATCATGTCATCCAAGAACAAAATATTTTATTTCTTTCTTTCTTTCCAAATTTTATATCTTTTATTTCCTGTTCTTATTGCATTAGCTAGAACTTCCAGTATAATATTGAAAAGAGAAAAAGTAGTAAAAGTAAACATCCTTGCCTTGCTCCTGATCTTGGCAAAAAAGCTTCTAGCTTCTCACTATTTTTTTTATATTCTTTCAATGTAGTAGGTCATATTAATTTGTGAATTTCTAAATAAGGTAGAGCAATTTCTTATCTACATATTTAAAAATAGATTCAAACTTTAGAAAAAGTCATATTCAAATAAGCATGTCTAAATAAAAAATAATAATAAAAACATTTACTTCCTGGAAAACAACAAAGGGGATGTATTCGTAAGCCCAGGGAACACTTCTCACCTTCCTCTTTCCTCTTCTTCACAATTTTCTTTCACATTATTTATGTTGGAGCCTCTCGTCTGTGACCTTCCACGACCAACACACAAGTGAAAGCTCAGAAAATAAGTTATCTTTTTCTCTGAACCTCATGGCTTACTCTCTTCTTTCCACTTGTTCTTTTTTCTTTTCTCCCTCAACTTGTCTATTTTTTTACTCTTTCATTTACTTTTTTATTTTTTCCCTAGGTTTCCCCTGATTCTCTCATGAATTCTTAACTTCAATTGTTTTCTGCCTTTTTCTTTTCTATTGAAGTATAATTGACAAATAACAGCATATTTGTTCAAGATGTACAATATAATGATTTAATATTTGTATGTATTGCAAAGTGGTCACCACAATAATTCTAGTTAGCATCCATCATCATACATAGTTACAATTTTTTTTCTTGTGCTGAGGAATTTTAAGATCTACTTTCCTGGCAACTTTCAAATATTCAATACCATATTATTAACTATATTCACCATACTTATATTACATCCTTATGATTTATTTATTTTATAACTGGAAGTTTTTATCTTTGAAAACCTCCACCTATTTCACCCATAATCCCCCAACCCTTCACCTGTGGCATCTACCAATCTATCCTCTATACTTACATGCTTGTTTTAAAAAATTCTATCTATAAGATGGATCATACAAAATTTAACTTTCTCTGTCTGACTTATTTTACTTAGTATAATGCCCTTAAGGTCCATCCGTGTTGCCACAAGTGACAAGATTTCATTGTTTTTATGGCTGAATAATATTCCATTGTGTCTGTGTGTATACATACCACATTTTTTTTTATCAGTTCATTCATAGATGGACACTTAGGTTGTTTCCGTATCTTTGTTTTTTAAGATTTTATTTATTTATTTGACAGAGAGAGATCAGGAACACAAGCAAGGGGAGTGGGAGTGGGAGAAACAGGCTTCTCACCAAGCAGGGAGCCTGATGCAGGGCTCGATCCAGGACTCTGGGATCATGACCTGAGCCAAAGGCAGACACTTAATGACTGAGCCACCCAGGTGCCCCTGTATCTTGACTATTATAAAAAATGCTGCAGTAAACATCTTTTCAAGTTAGTGATTTGGTTTCTTTGGATGAATATCCAGAACTGGAAGTACTGGATCCTATGGTTGCTCTATTTTTAAGTTTTTGAGGAATTGCCATGCTGTTTTCCACAATGGCTGCACCAGTTTACATCCCCACCAACAGTGCAC